TTTCGAGTTATTTGCTGCCACAGAAGCCCCTAGAACTGCATTATAAAGCTTTACTAGGCGGCAGAGACACTCTTCTGGAAGAAATCAGAGGCGAGAAGAGATTTTTTGAATACAATGTTGCCAATACGAAGTTAGCTTTGAATTGCCGACGTTAGAGAAAGGTCGCCTCCCTAGTCGTTCTGTGACATATTTCAGGAACTACCAAGGCAAAATTGGCAAGTTTTAACATCCAAAGAATGCAATCGGTGCAATTTTGCCTGTAGGTGCGAGTGGCTTGGCACTTAAAACAGGAACGTTGATTGCTCCCTGTCTCCCAGACTCCCATGATGCAGATCGGCCGCGCAATTGAGAAATCTAGGATTGCTGTGCTTGGTGTCTAAAAGGGGGCCGTGGCTAGATCTGCAGAAACTTGTACAAAACAAAAATGCAAAAATACTAAAGACCTGGAATGGCCAATTTCAAAACACTTAGAATTTCGATTTGCAAAAGATGATTTAGACTCTAAAACTGGAGACGAAAAGACGTGATTCCCAGCCTTGTTGGTGCACCAAAAAGTCGAGACTTGGGCATTCCTATTTTTCAGGGGTCCATTTTGCCCAAGTATCGCGCCTGATGTAAATTTTTTTTTAACTCCAAGATAGAGTTCTATAACTAGCTGTTGCCATGGGTTACATTTGGTGGTCTTCTTTTGCGATCTCGGAAACTTGTAATTTTTAGATGCATCGTTCTTACAGGAACGATAATCCCTAAATCGGATGTTAAAGGGTTATAGGGGGCTAATGAGCACAATTGTCAACAAAGAAAAGTCGAAAAATGCTAGGCTGGAAACAAATAATTCTATATGGTTCAATCTATTTTGACAGCGTTTGAAGAATCTAAGTATTGCTCGATTTCAATCAGTTGCATAAGATTCAAAAGACCGGCGGCCATGTTGGTTCAATGAACAATAGGTAATAATAAGAATAATATCTAACTTGCACTCGAGAAGCAAGAGAAATACTCGCTACGCTCGTGTTTCTAAGCTTGCTTCTCTAGTGTTTTTCAACTCCCACCGTTTTATATTTCTTAAATGCATAATATGGGGAACTGTGAAGTATTTTATTGTATTATGCTTGCAGGCCTTGAACCAGAAACATCATATGTCGCAAGGGTTATAGCAATAAACGATAATGGAAGAGGGTTGGAAAGTGATAAAATTGATATCAAAACAGAAGGTAACAAAAGATATGTAATGAGATAAACACACTCTATCTATCGCTAACTAGTTAAATAGGAGAATCAATTCGCAGAACAATGAGAATTAATGACTCAGAAAATAGTCGGTCAATAAAGATAATAATTTCAAGTTAGCATGCGACAATGACAAAATCTTCTAGCTAGTCAGCTACGAACTTTTACCACCCATCCAATCAGCATACTGAAAGCCATCTAAGTTTTTAGCCATAAACCTGACAACCAACCTACTAGAAAACCATACCAGACATCAAGTCAGCATGCAAACTAAAGGAACAGCAATCTCCGACCAAATTGCCTTGTTTCATTATGACGTCACAAAATGCTTATTTATATTATCTCCGAACGTATACCTTTAATGTGTCGTGTTTTGATATAATATACGTCATGTATCAATGATTGGTCATCTACGTTTTATCTTATATGCAGGACGTCATTCCGATCCATTCTGGCGACCATATTCCTTAGCCTTAAAACAATAAAATATTTTGATGACTAGAGTAATCAACGAACTGTATTTATCATGCATTTTTGAAACAATGAATGAAAGTAACTTAAGCATGATCATAAATCTCTAGCCAAACAACTTCCAAAGTGGGCCATTGCAGTAATAGTCATAGTGGTCTTTGTATTTCTCTTGGTTATTATTTTGGTCTTCCTTTGTTATCGTCGTCGAAAGAAACGGATTGCAGCAGCACGAGCTGAGATGACAATGAAAAGGCTAGATAAGGTAAGAGGGAGTAGTAATAAAAGTTGCTGACTGAGAAACGTTGTCATTCGTAGAGCAACAATATACAGAGGATATTACATGGGCGCGCGGAGATACGGATTGTATCTTCGAGTGTTGATTTTCAACACTAGAAGATAAAAACCGTATCCCCAAGCGATTATGTAATATCTTATTTATCATATAATTTTATATGAAAGCAAATAATGAGATTTTTAAATTTATATAGAGAAACCTCGAATGTTTTCTTTTCACTAGTGAAAATAACATGTCATTCTTACTAGTGAAAATATCAATTTTACGAAATGGAGAAACAGAGGTATTTCATAGATAACTATATGATGAATATATTTTATGTATACTTGAAATTGTTATCATCGTCATATCTCTTCGCGCCAGTAAGCGCACAAGGCCTCCTTTCCAGCCTTCTCTATCTCTTGCTGTCATTTTGGTTTCTTTGCAAGAATTCCATCCTGCGTTGTCCCTTTCGTTCAGTATCTTCTCCAAGTAGTCTTTGGTCTTCCCCTTGCTCTTCTCAGGCACCGCTTTCCAGGTCGTAATCTATGCATATTGTTTTACTTTACCGTATATCATAATATTAATATTAAATATCAACTTTAGGTAATTTTAGATTTTAAGGATTTCTTTTAACAGCAAGTCTACTTTTTTTCCTCTGACGACTTCAGATGAAGGAATCATATCCCAAATCCTATTTCAACCTCGGCAACTCGTTTACCATATCTGAAAAATGCACAGTTTTCTCCAGAGAAAGATTTGCTTTGCTGTACGAGGTTGGGTCGGGGGAGTTTGGTGTCGTTTATAGAGGACAACTGCTGAATGACAACAACGAATTTATCGACTGTGCCGTGAAAACATATAAAGGTATTAAGAAACTTATACACATAGAAATCGGGTAGAATTATTGCTGTAGTGGACATATTCCTTCAAAACGTGCATATATATCTCACTTCATCTCTTATATTCTGTTGGCTTTCTGTTTAGCTAAACTGCATTCAACAAAGAGTTTGTGGTTTGGGACTGAACTAGCTATAAGTGTGCTGACAATGATAAATACTGTCTTTTTTTAAGTCGTAAATTTGTTTCAATATATAATTTTCCTGACAGAAACAGCTAGTGATGAAGACGTACGTGATTTATACCAGGAGCTAGATATCATGGTGAACCTTGGACGTCATAAGAACCTTGTCAACGTTATAGGTGCCTGCGAAGAACCTGGCAAGAGAAAAGGTAGAGGTAGGTTTCAATATTTCAGTTAACGCTTATTTTTTAATAGTCAGTCATTTACCATTATCTATTCGATTAAGATCTTTCACTTTACTTGGTTTTTCATAACTGCCCTTTAATATTGCTTAAAGACCCTCTTGCATCCAAGAACCTTTGCGGTAGTTTAGTTTGAATTGAAAGAATATCTGTCATTAAAAGCTACTTTCTGATTAATTTGGTCTAAAATCTTTTCAACAGGCCTAGATTAGACCTCGCAAAACTGAAAATCCACAAAATGTGCAAAAGCATTTTAATTGAAAATCTTAATTGAAATCCAAAAATATGAACTTCGGTGATTCACATACCAAGATGACGATATTCCGTGTTTGAGAATAGGATACAAAGGTTCTTGGACCGACGTAGGTCTTTATTCAAAATGTTGTGCATCTAATGGAAAAAGTAACCGTCAATTTACTCTTATTTTCTTACTCAGATCAACTGTATCTGTTAGTGGAATTTGCGCAACATGGCTCGTTAATTAGCTACTTGAAGGAACATCGAGAGAATCCAACAGAGAATCCTGAATTTGAACTCCATTATATGAATCGGTTAAAGCTTGCTCATGGTGTAGCTAGAGGAATGGCTTTTTTAGCTAGTAAAAGGGTAAACTAACTTTTCTAACATTCCATCAATGATTTACATTGGCAGACTTACTTCAAATATAGAATTACCACACAGTTTGTGCAACTCATCGCCAGCTGATTGGCTGATAAGAATAGGTCAATAAGTAGAAATATAAACCAAAACTATGCGCAATGTTTTTTTTGAACATCAATTTCTCTATATTTACAGTGCGTTCATAGAGATTTAGCAGCGAGGAACGTTTTACTTGGTGATAGATTTGTTGCCAAGGTAGCTGACTTTGGGTTGTCACGTGACATCTACGAAACGG